GGGCAGCAATCCGTTGGATGGTCTAGCTTTGTACATATCTCACATACTCTTATTGGTCTAGATTTTCCTGCAATAAGTGAATTAACTACTTCAATTAATTTGTCTAACTTATTCTCAAGGGAAAAAATACTTTTCTCGTGAACCCATCGGCTGGGTTCATTTTGAAAATTGTTGAGAATTTGCTTCCATGATTGAAATCAATTCCCTTGCTGTTGTTGGGGTCATGTTGACTAATGCTCCGCCACTGGCGGCATCCATCATTTTCATCTCCATTGGTAAAAGACCTTCATAAAAGTATTGAATTAACATTTGCTCACTTAATCCGTGTTGCGGACAACATGCTCAAAGCTTTTTAAATTGTTCCCAATAGTCATAAAGACTTTCTTCGGTCTTTTATTGAATGGAAAGAATGTTTCTTCATAACTTGCTTGCTTTAGCCGCTGGAAAGAACCTGTCAAGAAAAATTCAATTCATGTCAGCTCATGAATTAATTGAATTTAGAGGTAAATAAAATAACCAATATTTAGCCAACTCAGCTAAAGAGAAAGAGAAAGCTCTCAATTTAATTTGATCTTTGGGAACTCCCTGTGGTTTCACGTTAGTGCAAACCATGCGGAATTCCAACAAGTGTTTGTACGGATCTTTAGTGGGAAAGCTGTGGAAGGTGGGAAGAAGATGAATGAGTCCTGTGTTTAATTGAAACGGAGTCTCGCCATTAGGAAAATTGATGCATAATGGCGTCTGAGTGACAGGAGCTGTGGTTAGCTCTCGGATTGTTTGTTCTTCTCCTATCATTGGGATGTTGTATGTGTCTGTTTCAGATTCTGTCTCCAGATTTGATTGTGCTTCTGAACTCTGCTCTTGTTCTTCTTGTCTTTTTCCCTTTTCTCGAAGCGTTTATACGTGAATTCTTCGTGCTCGTGCTTTGATCTCTGGATCTAGATCTACTAATTCACTTGGGTTACTTCTGGTCATAAATAAAAAGCTAGAAAAATAAATCAGTACTTGTCGTTAGTTCCCGGCAATGGCGCCAATTTGATAACTGTCGTTTTGTTATCAAAATAATTATGGCTTCTTAATTAAATAGAAAGGAAAATGTATTATAGAGAAGCAGGGTCGATCCACAGTGATTATGGTTTTTGTGATTTAGTAAAATTGTTTCTTGATTTTAGGAAAAGATATAATTCCAGGTAAAATTGAAATGGTATAAAAAATAAATAATTATAAATTAAAAAAAGAAAAATAATAAAATAATGAATAATGAATTTAAAATAGTAATAAAGATAAAAGGATGTTTTAATTATTTAAAGAATTATAATGAGATAAAAAAATAAATAAATAAATAAATAAAATAAATAAATTGGGATAAAGAAAACTTATTATGAAAGCAGCCTCAGACTTCAGTTTCGCCTCAAATTCCTCGGATCATCAAAACAGATTTTTACTTCAAGATTCACGTCGGCTTACAATGACAATTCTTCGTTGCCGACTCGGATTGTGTCATTTCAACAATAACTGATTCTGATCTCAGTTTCCTCCTAGCAAACAATTTTGTTAACTGTGTTCTCGGGAGCCTTCTTCAAACATTAACCATAACAATATCCGGACCAATGTCGAAATTGTTTTGATTTGAAAAGTAAGCTCAGAAAACAGAGAGAAAAATCCGAAGCGATTTAACTACCTTATAATTCTCACGTTTGGAATAAAGCCTTCCCTTTAGTCTTCGGCTTGAAAGAAAATTAGCTAAGCATGACCAATGTCATACTTAGCATAATTGAAAATGAAATTCTAAAGAAAAATAAAGGAGTACGTGAAAATAGAGAGAAAGCTAGAGAGAAAAAGAAGATTTTATTCTAAGATGAGAGATATATGTTTCTAGGCTTACCCTCAGAGGGTTTTTATAGCCTTCAAATTCCTAAAAATAAGCTAAAACATCTTAAATCCTAATTAAAACACTTAAAACTATTTAAACTAAAATACCTAAAAAATAATAATATTTAAAATAATATTCTAAATCCTAATTAAAATACTAAAACCTATTTAAACTAAAATACCTAAAACAAAGATAAAATATAAAAATAATATCCTAAAACTTAATTAAAATACTAAAACCTATTTAAACTAAAATACCTAAAAACAAAGATAAATTATAATATTTAGAATATTATCCTAAAACTTGAGTTTAATCCAAATCCGAATTCCAGCAAGCTTTGATTCCAAAAATTAAAAAAAATACAGAATTCCGTCTTTTTAGTGCAATTTCCAAAATCTATCGTCCTACACAGAAAATGAATGAAAACGAATAATTAAGCCACAAAAACCAATGATTAAGGAGTAATTTAAAAGCAAAATATTAACTAAATTAAGCACTTATCAATATCTTTTAATCATATCCTCTTGTACCTAACCTTTTTAATCAACATATGACTCATTTAATCAAACAGTACACACATCATCGTATAAATCATATAATACAATTCATATCACAAAAGCATATACATCACATGTAATATGTTTATTGTTATCTCTTTGTTAGCCCATGTACACATATGAGAACTTAAGGTATGTGAGTACTTTGAGGTTGTGCACACATATGCTATCACCACATCTCGTATAAGGGTTCATTGAGTGGCATGTGAAATGTGTCCCGAAGGACCTATGCATGTGTCCCGAATGACCTATCCATATGTTCTGAAGAACATAGGTACTTGTCCATATGTCCCGAAGGACATAGGTAATCTTGTCCATATGTCCCGAAAGACATAGGTAATCCTATCCATATGTCCCAAAGGATATAGGTAACCCTCAACTCTTGGCATATCAACTATACCTCTAGCCCTCATGACACATAACATGGGCATTAACACTTATATCATTTCACATATTCATACATTCATATCACATATTCATACATTCATATCACATATCTCTTATCTCTTGTGATCATGTAATCACATAACTTTGTATCACATAGCTCATGTCATTTCTTATGAAATTATTTATATCATATAGAACACATAACTCATATACCTTCTTATATGTTCACATATATTTTCCATAAACTCATATCATATGATTCATAACTTATTCTTATATCATCACAGGTATCATCTTTGCTCATTCACATATACACTGACATACATACTCACATATATCATGTAACATATACAATAACCTATCACACATATATTCATATCAAACACATGTTTATATTTATGAATTCATGCATTTTACTATAGAAAATTGACTTGTCACAAGTCTTATTTCCATTAAAAATCATATACTAACTAGTATGCACTCACCTGGCCTCACTAGTCAATACCATTCTCTTATCTTTTATTCGATGCCCAATACTTGTCGATTGGTCTGGACTTGCTCTCGATTGATATCTACATAATCTTGCATTTATACCTATCAGTATTCCAAATAGCATACTATGATTTCTTATCACTTAAACTGAAGGAAAAATCTATTTTCATTTTCCCTTTAAAGTAGTATCGGTGCCCACTTTAGGGTATCGATACTACCTTAGCTGGGGGTATCGATACCAAACCTGGATATCAATACCAAAATTACATTCGATATTTCTTGGTATCGATACCTCCTTTTTTTTATCGATACTACCTTCCCAGGTATCGATACCCTTTGAACGCCTTTGATAATTCTAGACTTGAAGTATCGGTACCTGATGAAGTAGTACCGATACCCTATGCCCAGATTTTACTTTTTAAGCCCGAAAATTCACTAATTTCAGCTTAAACACTTCATGTTTCATCCCATTTCATAATCTTAACTCACATACACATGCTTAAACCCATTAATACTCATTTATCATATCCTTAACCTCAAAATCCTATCATTCATATGTAAATCAATAATTACACCAAATTTTCAACATGTTCTAAATTCGTTTCTAACACTTTGAATTTCTTACTTTGACTGATGACAAGTCAAATTTAACTTCCAACTTCAATTGCTAACTCTTTTCCAAGATTTCATTCAAAAACTCTAAATCTTTAATCTCTCCTAACTCTTTCATCTTTTGATTTTAAGATGACTTAAGTTTTCCTTAAGCTTTCCTTAATCTTTCTTAATACACCAAGAATCAAAACTAAGCTTAAAACTCAAGAAATAATCATTTAACCAAAACTCACCTTATGAAATGGAGCTCACGGTGGAGAGGAGGAAGAAGATACTCATCTCCATATTTTCCCTTTTTCCTTTCCCAATACCACGTGCATACACCATTTAAAGAGAAAATAAAAAAATTTCTCTTAGAAAAGACCATAATACCCTTATTAATTTTAAACTTTGCTAATCAATCCAACATCATAATTTTCCCATTAAGTCCCTTAACTTTTAACTTGTTCCGAAATTGAGCACCCAATTTCCAAAAATTTACTTTCTTGCAACTAGCCCTATTTTTGGATATTACAGAATTACTCGAAAATCTGAAGAAGAAAAATTTACCCACGCCCGATGATTCCAGCTCCAACCCCAGCCTTGAATTTTTTTCTTAATTTTAAATTATTTATTTTTCATGCCTTCAAATAAGATAATAAGTATTTATTTTAAAATTATTCAAATATATTTTGATAAATATATAATAGATGTATAAATTATATTGAATAAAATTATAAATTTATTTTTTTATCAAAATTAAAGTTATATTCGAATTTAGATATCTGATTTTTTCGGATCGGATACAAATTTCAATTCTAGTGACCCGAATTTTCGGGTCAAATAATATTAGATATCTGAAAATGCACAACCCTAACTAGGACGTGCAGAAGAAATATTTTGTTGCATTAATGATGTATTTTTAAAATAATTGTTATGATTGCTTTTGAACGATATTTTCACTCTCCGTACTTTTAATCTAGATTCTATATCGTGTGTATACATGTGATCCAATTCAACCTGAATTAACTTATTATATAATATACTTTATAAGTGTTATATTTAATATAACAGCGAATATAATTCAATCCATTTGCAGATACATCCACCATCATATAAATATTTCCCTTTTGACTGCAATGCTATTATTATCGTCATCCATATTTTACATGAGGGCACCAATAAGAGAAAAAAACTGCTTTGATATGATTATATCTATCTGCCTATATTAGAGATGTATACTACATATATTAAACAAAAAAATTATGCCTATGAGACCCTGTTTCTTATAGTCAGGAAGGACCCAAGTACGTTCTTCATGCAATATACCGTCTGAGTTTAACGCTAAAGCCTAAAATTATCTGTGATATGGCTGATTAATTGTGCCCTGTTGCTGTTACCAAATTGTTTGGTTCGCCTACACTGCATCTACTTTCCTAAAATGACGTGAAAATCGCAAGGCATCTACTAAAATGTATACCGGTTAGCTTACTCCTGGCTGCATCATGGGGAAGAAAGACCAATTGCTGGCTACACTCTTGTCCTTTCCAGCTACCTTCTCATTCGCCCACCAATCGGAACTGACGATAGGCTTATGGGCATCAACTCCATCAACGTTGTCAAAATTGAATTCTTTAGCTGGCCCAAGTGTTACGCATTGATTCTCAAGGTGTTGTGCCGTGCCTTCCCCATCGGCTGGAGTTTTCTCTGGTCTTTCATTGGATGTTTCACCAACACGACATTGATGATCATCCACCGCCTTAGTTGTGTTCTCTTCTCTTTCTCTTTTAGCTTCATTCTGTAGAGATTCTGGCACAGCTTCAGATGGTGTTGCTGCCTCTGTTTCCACACATATTGTAACTTCTTCATTAGTCAACTCAAATGAAACTCTATGATTAAGTGCAACCTGATCAGTTGGGGTTTGTTTATCCAAATGCGGATGTGAAAAAGCTTCTGAGATCTGGTGATCCATAAGAAAACCATTGCGAGGTGTGGATGTTGTAGCATATGGGGTTAAAGTCCCAGAACCATGACATGATCCCCATTCACGGTTGGAAAGCTTATCAATGTTGAAGAGCTTGGGAGGGTCACCCATTCGCAACTCGGGAAAGCGTAATGCAGCAGCAAAATCACCATCAGGGAAAGGAGATGATCTGCCAGAACCTGAGATTCCTGAGCTTGGTGAGACCAGTTGGCCAACTGGACTCCCAGGTTGAAGCTGATAAGACTGAAATTCATAGTGGAATATGGGGAATCTCTGTCCACCCTCTCCAAACTGGAAGTTCGGGCCAAGGAACTGAGCAAATGGCACCTCAGGTGAAGACGGCGTAGTCAAGTGCACCAATTCAGGGGGAGGAGTGAAGGGAGCAGTTGATGGTTCAGTGGTGAAGGTCGAGAAAACAGGTGGCGAAACTAACTGGGTTTCATGAGCATAAGGGCCAATTGCAAATATAGAAGCAGGGCCTGGAGAGTACATACTAGCAGAAATAGAGGTGAGAGACACTAAACCAGCAGGAGACTGAGTAGCAGAGGGGGGTTCAGATGGAAGGAAAGACGCAGGAGAGGAGGGTGGTGCAACAAAGGGAAGTGTCATGGCAGGTGCTTGGGTTGGAATCTCAGCAGCAGGCACATTAGCACGAGAAGCACTCGTCTCAGAAACAAGAACAGTGGGTCCAATACGCTTTTTTTGTTTGTATGATCCAAAGCACCAATAATTGCTCCAGAAACCACCCCATCTTTTCTTCTGAACGTTATGATACAATGCATTAATACGGGAAATCACACCAGATTCTTAGGCAGCTAGAATAAATCAGATAAATGTCAGGTACAACTAATGAAAACTTTTGTTATAAAAGACGTAAAGGCATATTACAGCAATAATAGAACCAATCCTCATTGAACTTTACCAAAGTGAATCAAGTAATGAAACATACTAAAGTATATATGCTCAAAGGTTATTGGAGATCATGCTATAAATTATTTTCAACTCTGTCAGAAAGAGTATGAGCACGTGGCTTCTTTTTCCATTGCAGAGCTTTTAACCTAGAAGATAACCCATTGAAACCCACCCTTTCAATTACTAAGTTTAGGTTAAGGTCAAGGAGCAGACGCACTTCCCATCCCTTGTTTAAGTATTTTCGAACCTTTTCCTCAGTGATCGTATATAACTATTCTTCAACTAGATCTCCAATACAAGGAAATCGTACTACAGACAGAACAAAGCAATTTCTACTATTCAGGACCACTTGCTATCCACCTTGAAATTGGATGTCCTCATGATCTTAAGATTTACAGAAGTTTCTAATATTCCAAAATCCAGAAGAATTTGAAACCTTCTAATTAGCTATACTCATATCATGGCCATAAAGAGCATGATACAAACAAATTCAAAGATGACCTAGTGCCATTAACAGCTATATTTAAGTTCCAAATTTTAGAATATCAACTCTGCTTTTACTCTTCTTTTGTTTCTTTACTTGTGATCTAGGAACTTCGCTGAATGAAAGTAAAACCAGAAATAAGAAATGAGGAAGATCATCTAAGCGCAAGGTGTTTTCAGGGTAAATAAGGAACCAAAAATTATTATCCCATATATACTAGTAATAAGTAATAAGAACTGTTTCATCTGTCAAGTTCCAAAAGTAAAAAACCAGTATGTTTTGAACTTGAAGTAAAAAAAAATTACAAGAGCAAAACCTGAACTTCTAAATCTAACAATATCAAACCACAAGCAACAGTGAAAGAGTCTTGATTCTGGAACAAGTCAACCTTCAATAAATATAAGCCTAAACTCACAATGATTTAACTCACTATTTGCCCAAAAAAAAAAGCCTAAACTAAGAATAAATATATGAATTCACTAAATCACCCTATAATACCATAGAAAACAAAAGAAGGGAAAAAATCAAATAATGCAAAAACTAATCACGAAATGAATATCAAAGAAGCTTAAAAACACTTCTGGAACACAACCAAGTAGAATTAAATTCAATGAAAACAATAGTACTTATAAATACATAGAAAACGAAAATAGAAATTTTACCTGACTAGTGGATTGTGGAACACGATTCTCTGCTGAAGCGATCACGTTAGCAGCAGCATGTATAGTCTCCAAAGGGTTATTCATAGCTCTAGATTCTCCATTTGCGCCTCTCATTTCCACTCGGAATTGTCAAATTTTCTCGAGAAAAAAATGGAGAGAGAAAGTGAATGGAGAGAAGGAAACTATGATTTATAGAAGAAGATTCCGAGGTGGAATAAAATATGAAAAAGGAAAAAGAAAATCAAATCTTTGAATTTTTAAATCTAAATCTCACTTTCATATATAGGGATTGTCTCAAGAAAGGTATGTTAATATACGGTATTATCGGATATATTAAAAGATATGTAATAAATTTGGTTTAGTGCTACTGGAAATGTTGAGTAATAATAATATAGTAGGTCTAAATCATGAAAAAATATTAAAAAATTTGGCAACTGGCAAACTTAGTTTGTCGGTTTATGTCGATACTTTATAAAAATATATCGATCCATATCAATATAACAGGTAAAAATATGACAAAACTGGTAAAGCGCTACTGGATATATTGAAAGTGTTAATACTTTAATATAAGTAACTAGGGGTGTTCAAAATTCGGTTTTAACCGAATTAACCGACCGAACCGAATTAGTTTGATTAATTCGGTCGGGGAATGGTTAAGGATTTTTTTAAAATTCGGTTAACGGTTAATTCGGTTCGAAATCGATTAATTAACCGAATTAATCGAAATAACCTTTAAATATAATTATATTAAGAGGCACAATCCATTTAAAATCCATTTAAAACCCAAATCAATATTAATTAATTAAAATAATATCAAAACTAAATGCAAAATATTTGAATCAAATTAATTAGATATTATTTATAATTAGATATTATTTAAATTAATTGTAAATTATTTTTTTAATTAAAAAAATATTAAATTCTAAAATTCTAAAAAAATTCGGTTAATTCGAAAATTAACCGAATTAACCGAAATTTATTCGGTTCGGTTAATATTTTCGAAAAAAAGTTCGGTTCGGTTAACGGTTAAAGACGGTTAATTTGAAAATGGTAGTTCGGTCGGTTCGGCCACCGAATTAACCGAATGAACACCCCTATAAGTATCGACACTTTGTAATTTAAAAGAGAAACATTTTTAGCGCTTATAAAGTGTTGATACTTTATAACAATGTATCGATCAACAACGATAAAACATGTAAAACTATGACAAAACCGGTCTCTAAAGGATAAAACTGGTATAGAGCGACCGGATATATTGAAAGTGTCAATACTTTAATATAAGTATCGACACTTTGTGAATTTAAAAGAGAAACAGTTTTAGCGCCTATAAAGTGTGGATATTTTATAACAATGTATCGATCTACAACGATATAACAGGTAAAAATATGACAAAACTGGTCTCTAAAGGACAAAACTGGTATAGAGCGACCGGATATATTGAAAGTGTCGATACTTTAATATAAGTATCAACACTTTGTAAATTTAAAAGAGAATCAATTTTAGCTCCTATAAAGTGTTGATACTTTATAAAAATGTATCGATCCATAACGATATAACATGTAAAAATATGACAAAACCGGTCTCGAAATCAAAAAATCGGTAAAACGCTACCGGATATATTGAAAGTGTCGATACTTTAATAAATACGCGTAATAAATTATCGATACTTTCAAAGAAATAGGTAATTATACTATCGAAAGTATCGACACCTGACATAAAAGTATCGACACTTTGTTAGTTGTATCGATTAAATATAAATAACATATCCGGTGAAAATATAAAAGGCATAGTTAAATATCCTATGAAAAATAGATAGAACGGACGAGTTTTTGAAATCGAAGCGTAAAATTTGCTGCATTTCAGAAGGCATTTCTAAAGCGAAGTTTGTTTGTTTGTTGTTGCAGTCGAATCGAAAAATACGTTGTCAAAACCCTAGTTTTTTATTATTACAGTAATCGGAAATAGGGCTTTTATGTGTGTTTGGGGTTTTGGAGTGAAGAAGCATTTGAGACCGATTATAGGTAGAAAGTGATATTCTGGGTAAAATATAAATATCGATACTTTTATTAAATATTATAGGTAGAAAATGATATTATAAGTTGTATAAATTTGCCGATACTTGTAGTATTGAGTGTTCCCATTCGTTTGAAGGAAATAGGGATTAGAGTTTTTGGGTTTGGTTTTGGGATTTTGAATCGAATCCAAGAAAGATATGGGACCGATTATATATTATTATAGGTAGAAAATAAATATGGATACCTGTTTATAATATTATAGGTAGAAAATGATATTGTAGGTTGTATAAATGTGCCGACACTTGTTGTAATGGCCATTCAAATTCTTTTGAAGGAAACTGTTTTACTACAAGAGTAGTTATTGATATTTGTATATTGAATAAAGTGTGTGTAACCAGTATTTGATTTGATTTGCGTAAACTGATATATGAAGGAAAAATGAAGTCAAAGCATCTTGGAATTGTTGGTGGTGAAGATGACGTTGAAATTGAGGCCGAGATTCAAAAGCAATCAAAGGGTGAATATATGTACTTCTAGTAAGTATCAATGTCTTTTTGTTATTAATATTGAAATGGTAATTGGATTAAAGTATTTAAGAACTTTAAATTGATTACAAATTTTAAATGTTGACAGTATGACCGAATGCCAAAGGATGAATGAAGGTGGCGAACACATCGGTTCGGTATGTAAATTGAAATTGACATTGAGTATTATTTAGCGTTAATATATTGTTTAAGAAACGTTTATGCTTAATATTAGGTGAGAAATGATGTGTTGGAGAAATGGAATTCGATGAGTGATGCTGATAAGGAACCTTACATCGCACAGTCAAAGATGGATAGTGAATAATACAAAGAATGGAGGAAAGCACATGAAAAGAAGGTATTCATTAAACTTGTAAATACGTTGATACAAAATATATAAGAACTATAACATTATATATTGTTAAAAAATGTAGGAAGTGTTGACAAGGTGTAGCATTAAAAGGGTGAATTCATTAATTAAACACCTTAAGGAGAAGGGCCAGTTGAATGTGCTGGGAGAAATGGGGTTTGGATCGTTGGTAGGAGTAAGGGATCGACCTATTTAGAGGGAATTGTGTCGATCCTTGATGGAGCAATTTGATGTCGAACAATGTATTGCTAAATATGGTGATTTTTCATTTCCTCTGGGGATCTCATGTGCTGCAGTCGTCTTAGGGGTAGGAAATGAAGGCAAAAGTATTGTAAAAGTCTCTAAGAGTAAGAACTTGAAAGCACTTGCCTCCAAATATGGTTTGAAGTAGAAGGTGAAATATGTTGAACTTGAAGAAGAAGTCAAAAGTGAATCTTACGGGGGGATGAGCTGAAGGCTCGAGTTCTATTGTACCTTGTCGGGATCTTTCTTTGTCCAACGGGTGATATATCAAAGAACAAGGACTATATGAAGCTCATTTGCGATGAAGGCTTGAAGGGTGAATTCAATTGGCTGAATATGTCCATTCGAGATTGATTGAATCAATAATCACATTTAAAAAGGGCAGCCAGAGATACCTCAAAGGTTGCATATCAATCTTAGTAGTAAACGAGTTGAAGAACATTTTTTTTATATATAAAATGATAGTGTAGTTATTATATAAAATTATAAATTTTATTATAAATGCAGGTTGCACTGTTCAATTTTTGGTCGGGCTGTGAGGCAGTGACAGCTTATGAAAGAACCGGAGTGACACACATCCGTGTATGGGGGAAGGAAGAGGTGGTTAGAGTGATGGCGAAGTTGAAGTTTGATAGACCGAGGAAGCAAGAAAGGGTAATAAATGTAATTAAATAATATTAAGAATATAATCAATGCCTTAATATTGTAATTTAATTTTGAAGGTTATTGGCAAGGAGATAGAGGAGGCAGAGGAGAAGGAAGAAGAGATGATTGTATTGGGGGATGACGGTAAGGGGGATGACAGTGAGGGAAAATAGAGTAAATTCGATATTTTGATGTCTGAATTGGCTAATATCAAAAAAATCCAATTTGATATCATGCAAAGACAATCAAGAGTCGAAGAGATACTTGAGAGAGTCAAAGAGACACTTGAGAGGCATAAGGGGGAAGTGGAAGGAAAAATAGATGGAGTGATGAAAGAAGTTGAGGTGTTGAGGGGTGAACTTAAGATGGTGACGGGTGAAAAAATTGATGGAGTGGTGAAGGAGGTTATGGAATTGAGGAGTGAACTTACGGGGGTGAAGGGGGTGGTTGATGAATACTTGAATGAAGGGGGAAAATTGAAGGGTGAAATAAAAGAGATGAAGTGCTATGTAGAGCAAAAATATGATGAACTGAAAAAATATAAAGAAGAAAAGATGGAGGAAGGATGTCGATGTGATCTATACACTGGAGAGTGTTATAAATGCATATTTGGGTTTGGAATGTCCTGCACCCCAGAAGAATAAGCAGAAGGTAAGTTGAATAAAAGAAAACTTAATTTGAACTTTATCATGTTATTGTGACAAAAAACTGTATGCAAAATTGTAAGTTGAAAAAACGGATATTCCAAGCGGAATTGATGACCTCGAAGCTGCAATTTGTGATTATTTATGGAATAGTGGGTTAGAATCAGGGTAAGTGAAATATATTGCTTTGTGAGTAATATTTAAATATTTCATGATAAGATATTAATCCTAATGATTCATACAGATATTCTGTAATCTCAATGGGAAATCAATTCACTAAAGTATCTGACGCTGCAACGTTGAAGCCTACGGAATGGGTTGGCGGTGTGGTAAGTAGAAAGTACAAAATGTTAAAATCTATTGAATATATTCTGATTGTGTAATTAATTTTGTTAGGTTATTGATTTTCTCGCCTGGACAGTATGCTACGATTTGAAAAAGTTACTCCGGATGATTGGCTACCTTCCATACCACTTAGCGGTAAGTTAAATTAATAAATGTTGAATAGTAGTGTTATAGATGATAAATTAATAATGATTGTCGTGTAATTACAGCAACAGGCGTTGAATGCCAACATCAAAGTAAGTGTTGAGGGTATTGCTACCTTTTGGGGTCCCATATTGGGTAATTATGTGAAATTCACCGACTGTGAGAAGGTAAGACACTATGCGAATTGCAAATGATGTTTTCGGATATAGAATGTTG